TCATAGAACGTTTTGATGATTCATGTGGTTGAAGTGAAATCAACTTTGTGTGTAATCTAGCTGTTAGTATCAATATGTAGACAGTTTTGAGGTTAAAGTCGTGATGGAGTTCTTATGCAAGCCTCGGAACAAATTTGTTTTTACCCTCATTTCTCATTAGTCAGTGATCATGACGCTAACCTTTTTTGTGATAAGTTGTTGTGATTACTTTGGTTTGCATATTTCGACAGCCATTTTAAAACTGCTCTAGACAAATATTTTTCGTGATGTCGCCTTGTTATAGTTTCAAATTATATTGAGAGGATTCTCATGTTGATTTATGAGATAAGTAACTTAAGAAACAAAGGTAAAAATAAATACCAGATCCCGCTCAGATTAGCTAATGGTAATTACTGTGTAGTATTATCGTGGAAAAAGTGTAAAACGTTTTGTCCAGATCCCGCCCAGATTAGCTAATGATAATTACTGTGTAGTATTATCGTGGAAAAAGTGTAAACGTTTTGTTCAATAAAGTCATCAATATTCCCGAAAACCGTAGATGTGAAACATGATGCTTTGGTTTCTTCTTTTGAAAATAGCGGTTTAGTTGTTTTGCCACTCATCAATATACTTTGTGTGGATTTCCTTTCTTATTTAAGGGGGGAGGGGTTGTGGAGGAAGGCCTACTTCTCTGAGTAGAGGTTGATTGTTACCCACTGAGGGACTTGTTGTTAACTCTTTGCTTAAAAATTTAACCTGTGAGTCGTTCGGAGGGGATTTCATCTCTGAGGTTATTTACCGTCAAAAGTGCAGTTTGTTAAAAACCTTTACACGGCTTAATAGTCTTTCAAGCCTGATTATTTTAATCGCTGGAGGCGAATAATTCTAGATCTGAAATAATTTTTTTAAGAGGAGTAAACCAGTTGCCAAGTGTGTCAGTTTGTAGTAGTCAGATATGCATGATTTGTTCTGATGTCTGACGTTTTGTAGAGTTTGACATCTCTTCAATTGATTCATTTCCTCCTCTTCACTTACGCTTTAAGCGATGATTATTGGGTAGTCATCAGTTCCAAAAACTTATCATGAGATTCCAACCCTTCAAACTAAAAAATGGTTATGGTAGTGTTATCATCTCAGCTGCGACTACGAGCGCCATAACGACTTCGAAAGGAAAAGTCAAAGACAATAAGCCTCCAGAGTTTTCGGGAAAGTAAATAACATAAAATTTTGAAATTCTTCAGTTGTTGCGTACTCAACTATTTCAAAGATCACTGTGACCTGTGAGACTGCACACGAAAGAGTCAAATGGAAAGTAAACAGTAAATAGTTATGTCTTTTATAAAGCTGTAAACTTACCAGGTTTTTTCTAAGAATCGATGTTGTTTATAAACTTTGAATTGTCATTTTCTTTCAGTGAAAGCAAAGTGAATCTGTGCCCGCCTAGCGTTAAATTCAAGGCATGACGGAGTGAGAAAACTGTAAAAGCTTTTGATCAGAGTTGATTTGATCTGCAGGTCACTTGTAGGTTCCGTGTTAGCGAGAAAACTGAACTGTCTATTTAAGCCTGATCCTCGGTCACAGCAAGCTCGCCTTTAAATTTGACACAATAAGCAAATTAAATTCAACAGCTTTTTGACTCAAAATGAAAATCTGGGCTGTTAGTTTAAGCCATAGCAACGTGTTTCTTCGCTGATTGTTCGCCTTTTCTCGTCGTAAAGAAAATTGGAGACTCTTCGTTTAAGCCATGCACGCTACTAGCATTGAAATTTCGTCGCCAACTGCAGAAATAAATGCCCAAGTGTAAAGTTCCATCAACATGTAGGTGATGAGTGACGAACGGATCGCCACAGGTAGTTTATTCTTAGTGCCCACAGTTCTGAGAAGTCAATTGATCTCATCCTTCTGATATAGCTGACGGTGTTTGGTGTTTTAGAGGTACACTACAATTCAAGCTCGACGAGGCATCGTGAAAATCGCATTGTTGGTGGGTTACATTTTCTTCTACTCCTTCTGAACCATCGGTGAGTAAGACTGTGACGAAAAACAAGCCACTCATGATTTCGTTCACTGAAACTTAGGTAAAAACGGATACTTGTGCATGTATAATACTTCGCTGGTGTGCTGATGTGTCCGGAGAGTAGCATAGTTGTTTCTTTGGCATAGGAAACCGCAGTATTACGTACAACAATTATTTGATATTCTTTATTGGGAAATCACGTCAAATCGATAATACAACAACGGTTCACAGATAAAACTAAAGGACTTTTTAGCGGTAGACATAGGAAAATCATTCAGTCCAGGAGCTTTGCCGTCCTTAAAGTTTTTTACAACTTCAGCGAGCTCGTTTATTTGTACGAGATCAAAATTTTGCAGGAGGGGAAGACAAGACTAGCGTTAGACATTCATTAGAAGACTTGGAAGACAAAGATTTTTTCTTGAAATTGTCTTGTTATAGTTCCATATTTTATTGAGAGGCTTCTCATGTTTATTTTATTAGATAAGTGACTTAAGAAACAAAGGTAAAAACATATACCAGATCCCGCTCATATTAACTAATGGTGGTTACTGTGTAGTATTATCGTGGAAAAAGTGTAAACGTTTTGTTCAATAAAGTCGTCAATATTCCCGAAAACCGCAGATATGAACGTGATGCTTTGGTTTCTTCTATTGGAAATAGCGATTTAGTTGTTTTGGCACTTATCAATCTACTTTGTGTGGATTTCCTTTCCTATTTAAGGGGGAAGGGGTTGTGGGGAAGGCCTACTTCTCTGTGTAGAGGTGGATTGTTACCCACTGAGGGGCTTGTTGCTAACTCTTTGCTTAAGAATTTAATCTGTGAGTCGTTCTGAGAGGATTTCATCTCTGAGGTTGTTTACCGTCAAAAGTGCGCCTTGTTATTTACCTTTAGACGGCTTGAGAGTCTTGCAAGCCTCATTATTTTAACCGCTGGAGAGTTTAGCATCTTTGTAATTTATTCATATCCTCATCTTCACTTACGCCCCTCAAACATGCCTTTCTTTTGTTGTTGAAGATGGGGTTATCAATGGTTCCAAAAACTAATAATGAGATTCCAACCCTTCAAACTGAAAAATGGTTATAGTAGCGGTATCATCTTAGCTGCGACTACGAGCGCCATAAAGACTTCGAAAGGCAGTGTTTGTTATTTTATCAGTCATTAGCTCTCTTCTTTGGAAGAATCCAACTGATCGACTAAGATAAGCCTCAAAGGGTTTTTGTTTGAAGTAAAAAAACTGAAAAATTTTGATATTTTTCAGATGCTTCGTACTCAACTATTGCAAAGATCACTGTAACCTGCGAGACCGCACACATAAGAGTTACATGGAAAGCAAATATATAGTTATGTCTTTTACGAAGCTGTAAACTTACCAGGCTTTTTCTAAGAATCGTTCTTGTTAATAAAATTTGAATTGTCATTTTCTTTCAATGAGAGCAAAGTGAATCTGTGCTCTCTTAGCATTAAATTCAAGGCATGACGGAGCGAGAAAACTGTAAAATCTTTTAATCTGAGTTGATTTGATTTGATTTTTCTAAAATAAAATTGGAAACTCTTAGTTTAAGCCATGCGCGCTACTATCATTGAAATTTCTTCGCCAGCTGCAGAAAAAAATTCTTATGCCCAAGCATAAAGCCAAACTTGACGTGTAGGTGATGAGTGACGCACGGATCGCCACAGGAAAGGCTGTGGCAGTTGTGGGGTCTCTCCCAGAGTAGAAATTTTTGAAAGGTTTTGGAAGAAACGTATTCATATCTCAAGAGCTACAACAACAGTTCTGTTACGGAAGGGTGGTTTTCTTTTTCTATTTGGTGTGGCCCCCCGCAAGGAATAAGTTCATTCTTGGAGCCCGCAGGTCTGGGAAATCAATTGATCTCATCCTTTTAATAAAGCCGACGGAGTTTGGTATTTTAGAGGTATACTACAATTCAAGCTCGACGGGGTATCATGAAGATGAAGACCGTATTGTTGGTGCGTTACATTTTCTTCTGCTCCTTCTGGACCATCGGTGAGTAGGATTGTGAGGAAAAAAACAAGCCACTCATGATTTCGTTTATTGAAATTTAAGTAGACGCGCATTCTTGTGCATGTATAATAATTCGCTGGTATGCTGATGTGTCTGGAGGGTAGCATAGTTGTTTCTTTGGCATAGGAAACCGCAGTATTAGGTACACCAGTTATTTGATATTCTTTATCGGGAAATCACGTCAAATCGATGGGGAAGATGGTCTTACTTTTAACTGACTTGTTGATGCAAACCCACCACCCAAAACTGGTATCTGTTTACACAAAATCGGAAGACTGACTTAAACAACAGCTCGTTATGATGATCCAAAATATGAACATGAGGGAAATGTAGAGAGTGAAAGTTTTGATTAAATCCTATTTCCAGTTAGTTATAGCCGGAGATCTGAGGAGCGATCTTGACTAGAAATGCGAATTGAGGTGACGTGCGTTTTGATTTTTGTCGACATATCGTTCGCGGCTGAATTAGGCAACATTCTCGTAATCGAAAACTGTGAGGGTTTCCTAATGCCAGCCAGCCACTACCGGGGATATGGATTCGTTTTGTATTACCCAAACCTTTAGTTGAAATTATCAGAGTACTATGGCTACTAAACTAACCAAATAATTTGTGTAACAACGTTGCATGAACCGCTCAATTCAATTTAGACAGCGAAAATTTAGGTTGATCAAAAACTACATCCAATGCTGCAGAATTGTTGTAAGTCATTGCAACCCTCCCAAAGCAACTTTTTATTTGTGTTCTGACTATCGACCTGTAGTTCCTCTCTTTTTAATTGGTTCCTAGAGGTTCCACTTTCATAGAAAACAGTTTCGAGTCTTGATTAATTTTCGTGGCAAGTGGAAAAGCAATGGGGCGTAACCTGTGACCATAAGTTGCGTGTTGCGTGATTGATTCCTAATTTTCGTATTGTAAAATCAACTGAACAACGGTCGAAGCGGGGAAAATTGAACTTCTATCAAGCGGTCAACGTGTACGAAG